ATTAGGAAGATTAACTTGACAGCTGAGTGGATGGATTACGGTGGAGAAAGGCTTGAGGCAGGAAGACCAACCGGCAGTCTATGGCAATCACCCAGTCCACATGTGTGCCATGAGTGGTAATCTGATATTACAGAAAGGGCTCTGGAATGGAAATTGAGACCCAAATTAACATCCAAGTTCAGCTACTAACTTGCTGAGTGACCTTGGCTAATTCATTCAATCTCTGCAGGACTCAATTTTCTTCTGTAAAATAAAGTCAGACTGGGGATGTAGAGTGGTATGGTCAAAAGAATCCTGGATTTTTCCTAAAAAGACGTGGGTTCACCCACCCTTCTGCGGTGGTGGGAGGTCCGCAGGTGTTACAAATTTTACCTTTTCAGACTTTCTCAATTTATCTATTGATCAGTTGTGGGGGAGGGTTCCTTTCTAAATATTATTTGTTATGTGCGATAACTCTATGGGAAAGGGGGGGAAAGGATAGTGGGAATAACTATGATGATGTAAGAAACAGAAGACATCGATAAAAACATATTTTAAAAAAAGACATGGATTCCAATTTTGGTTGTACCAATTATTACCTTTGTCACCTTGAGCAATCTCTTCTTTTCCAGAGCCATAGATTCCTCATCTATAAAACAAGAGAATTGGACTGGATGACATCTAAAGCTTCTTTTAGCTCTCAATCTGTAATCCAAAACCCCAGTGGGACAGGGAGGTAGACTAGTGGAGTGGAAAGAACACTGGATTTGGAGCCAAAGGACCTGAGCTCAATCCTAGAGCTGCCACTTACTGTGTGACCTTAGGCAAGTTACATACCATCTCTGGGCTTTCTGCATCTTCAAAATGAGGAGTTGGATTAAAACCTTACAGCCCTAAACCTGTGATTTATAATTCTGTGACTTAGGTGGTCTCTAAAGTTCTCCCAACTTGAAATCTACAATTGCATCATCTCTGAAATTATGAGCAACCTGTGGTGTCCTATTTGCCTCTGTACATTGGTATGTGTTCACATGTGTGTGTCTGTCTGATTTCCTAGCCCACGCCAAAGCCCAAACAACATAATTAAGCCTGGGGAACATTAGGAGCTACAGAACTGAGCAGGCATCCCAGTGCAGAGACTCATATACATTTAAATTTCAAACGCAATGGAAGATTTTGAGATTAGGAGAGAGAGAAAAAAAGAAACCAAGGCTGCAGTTGTATTAATGAACATTAATATAAAGTGAGCCTGAGCCGGGTTATTGTTAGTCTGGGAATCAGTCACTGTGTGCAGAGGGAGAAGAGAAATGGGGCAGCCTCTATTGCTGAATCTCCTACATTCTGTGTGCTAAGAGTGGTCCATCTCGGGACTCATTCCATCTGAATGGCCTTTCTGTGGCCAAGGGATAGGCAGAGAAGAGGGGGTGTGGGACTGGCAGGAGATAAAGGGAAGGTCTGTGTGTGTGTGTGTGTGTGTGTGTGTGTGTGTGTGTGTAGTGGGGTGAAAAAAAGGAGAAGCTGGTCTTCCTTCTGGGAATCTGAAGTTGAAGTCAACAGCACAGGAATAAGAAGAGATCCTAACCCACTTCTCCAGGGGATAAAAATGGAGTGATGGTTGAATCGGCCTTCTCTCTTCCCCTCCCATTCTCATCCCCATCCTCATCCTCACTCCAGGAATAGCTCCAAATTCAAGCAAAAAGACTTCCCTGAAACCCCAACTCTCTGTGGTCAATTTTTCAATTTGGCAATGGCAAGGACATACCTGATTGGAGTCAATCCAAAATGTATCCCTGAAGACCCAAGCCTTCCTCTCTCTGCCTTCAGCTTGGGTCACATAGAGCTTCTTCATTCTCCTTCCTCCCACCCCCATCAAAACCTCCGCAGACCTGGATCTGATAAACTCGTCACATTGAACTATAAATGACAGGCAGTTTTTCAAATATCACCCCTAGGAGGAAGTCTCAGTCAATCAAGAAACAAATATTTATGCTCTTTTGTAGAGGCAAAAGTATTGAATTTAGAGTCAAAAGACCCGGATTCTTGGCCTGACTGCCACTAATAGGTTATGATTATGGTGTGGGGGGAAAAACATCTATCCCTTCTCTGAGCCTGTTTCATTTGCGAAAAGAGGAGGATGAAACCTATCTTAAAGGCAGTGTATGACGTAGTAGAGATCTGGCCTTGAAAGCCAAAAAGAGCTGAGTTCAAGTCCAGACTCTGACACATACTGGCGGCTGGTCTGGGAGAGTTACTTAACCTCTCAATGCCCCCAGATAAATATCTAAGAGGGTATATTGCAGAGGAGGTGCTGATTTGCATTGGTCAAGGGAATTCCTTAGACCAATGAAATCACAGTTGTTAGTCTTTAGCCTAATATCCATCCACCCCACTTAGTTCACAGCTTGGTTGTAAGGCTGGGTGGAGATAATGGATGTGGAGGCCATTTATAGGCTGTAAAGTGCTGTACAGCTCTTATTACCATGCTAAACAGGGTGTCCCAAAAGTCTTAGTGCAGGCATCAACTTTTAATAACAGAGAACTGCACTAAGATTTTTGGAGTCTGTATATGCAATCTAGCAGCTGCTCCCCCCATACAGGATGTTTCATCTCCTATCTAAGTGCCTTCCCTTAGATATTCCCCCATCTGGAATGCACTCCATCCTCACAGCTGTCTCTTGAAACTGCTAGCTCTATTCAAGGCTCAGATCAGACACCTCCTTCTTTAGGAGGCCTTCCCTGATCCCCAAGACCCGGGTTGTTAAGGTTCTCCCCTTAAATTACTTTGTCTAATCTTGAATATGCCTTGCTTTGTCTCTGAATGAACTGCTTCTGTTTCCTGAGTTAATAAGCTTCCTGAGGGCAGGCTCTGCTTTGTTTTTCTCTCTGGATCACTAAAGTCTAGTACAATACCTGGTGCTCAGTGGGACCTTTTGGATTGAATTGAAAGACTACTAAAAATAAAAGCCGGGGGCGTCTATGCCTCCTGTGAAGTGCATAAGTAAGGGCCAGTGGAGTTCAGGGCTTGAGAGATCACTCTGGGCTAGGGTATCAGAATATGCCAGAACTAAAGATTGAGTCATCTGCCAAAAAGCCATCTGTGTGACCCTTTGCTTGATGACCGAATGGGCCCTTTCTAGGAGAATATGGTAATAATTTCTCAAGGTGGGGGACACAGAAAGGGGCAGAGGAGGCAGCCAGCTGTGGTAGAAAGAGCGCTGGACTTGGGAGTCAGGGGAATAGATCTGAATCTTGGCTTTGTATCACTTACTGTGTGTGACCTTGGGTAAGTCGTTTCTTTTCCTCTGGGCCGCAGTTCTCTTCCGTAAACTAAGGGGGCTAGACTAGACAATCCCCTAAAGTGCCTTCCAGCTCAAAATCCTAGGATTCTATAACTGGAATGGAGAAGGGACGGGGACTCCTGCATGTTTCAGGGTACAGTGGGGACAGCGCCAAATACTTGAGGGGGAGGGTTGCCCAAGAATCTAGGCCCCCACGCTCCCCTGCAGTGGGATGAAGTGCCCAACACACACACACACACACACACACACACACACACACACACACACACA